CTATTTATTAGATTATATTACAAATTTTAATATAAATTAAATAATATAATTATAAATATATTGTATATTATATAAAAAATTAAAAATATAAACACTATAATTATAATTATATATTATATTGTACTAATAAATACAAATAAATGTTAATTTTACTATTAGAGTGAGTAATGCACAATAATGTGCAACTAAAAGCTTGTTCTCACAACTAAGGACTAGTTAGAGAGGGGCAAGGTATTCTGATGAACATGTCATTGACCCGATCAATAAGAATTATGTATAATTTTGCACAGTATGGTATCAATTACAATATTCCAATGCTAAATAAAAAAATCAATAGTTCTACAATATGCTCTTCAAAATTATTCTTCATTTATCACAATTCTCTATCTATAGTGGTCATGAAACACATCGCTTTTATAATGATGATCTACTGTAACATTGTCATTTCTATTATGAGAATGTCCTTAACCTCCTAAATAGGAAGCATTCATATCTGGAATATGCGTATCTTACTTTTCATAAAATAGTTTCATCTTTTGGAGTAACAGTTCGCTCATCCAGTCAGGACTCTAAAATCTAGTAAGGTTCTCATGGGCTTGCAACGGAAAAGACGACTTGGGAAGCCAAAAAATGAAGAAAAATTATTACAAGCAGTGTTCGGACGCATCCGAAGGTTAATTCGGACACCTCATGTCACCCAATGCATATACATTGAGTGACGTGGCACATATATATTAGCCTCCGGACGTGTCCGGACTCTGCATTTAATAATCTCTACAAAATGCGAAGGCATGTAAAATGATTATTATTGATTGCGGTCAAGACGGCTAGTGCAAAGTGCTTCATAGATTATTTGGTTGATTGAAAAAGAAATAACATGTAAAAGAGATATAACATGTTTAAAACATTTTAGATTTGTTTAGATGAGTGTAAAAAATAAAATCAATGCGATGTAAAGTCAAAAGATTGTGGCGATTGGTGCCCGATAATGGTGATGTGGCTGACGATAGCAACTAGCGATAGTGGTTGGTTGGTCACCGATGATAGTAGGACATATGATGATGGTGGTGGGTGACAGCCGACAATAGTGATCGAGGTAAGTCACAATGATGATTGTGGTGGTGGTGAGTGACAACAAAGACAGTGATAAAGACAAATGGCATCAATGATGATGCATATATAATGTATTTAGAAATTCTTCAAATTGAACGAATTCCAAATACATCAAAATTATACTAAAGAGTACATTCGACATATACTAAAATTTTACATTACTTTTATTTACTTCAAACCAAACATCAATATTCTCAAAATCTCTACATTTGTAATATTTATATATTTATTTTACTTCAAATCAAACAACTTCTAAAAATAAGAAAGAGACAAAGTGCTAATAAATAATGTGAAAATGTAAAGTCATAATTCTTTTAAACAGAATTTTGGGAGAGAAAAATTATGAGGCTTTGAAATTTTTTTTAGAAATTATAAGTTATAAGCGCTAATATATATATTGCATATTTATAAATTTGAATGATTTATAAAATTAATATAATAAATTTAAGCTAGATTATATATTTGAGTTAATTATTATAATTTCAATATCATAGAGCACCTCTTTTTTAGATCTTCTAATTCTCAGTCTTATTTTCTGCTTTGTTATAAAAGTTATGTTATTATTCATAGCTTAGATGCAACATTAACCAAATAACCTCTAATTGAATTTCAATTTATTTGACCGGACCTGAACCGATCAAATAAGTACGAGCAATTAAGTCCTAATCCGGTTTAATCCGGCCCGAATTCAGTCCAACACGTAAGCCAGTTAAGCAGGCGGAAAACCGGAACAGTGGAGTGGACCAAGCCGGTCCAATTTATAATTCCCATTCTGAAATGGCGAAATCTAAGCTCTCGACCACCCGCTCGCTCGCTTCGTCCCCTCATTCGAAGCCCCGCGAGCACGGAGCCAACAGCGAAGGCGTTGCATCTGGAAACCCTAGAATCGGATGCGGCGATCTCCATTCCTCTCCTCTTTTGCTACTTATTAGAGATCCTCTTCTAAATCTTCCCCTCCATCCCATACCCTTTACCACTTTCTATCTCGCTGGGTTTTAATTTTTTCGTCCCTTTTTATCAACGTAGTTTTTTTTTTTCTTCTTTTTTCCAGGAAGAAATCCAAGGGTTTCGGCCATACGGTGCCGAGGATGTTTCTTCCCGGATTTCGCCCTTTTGAGTTTCCGGTTTTTTTTTTCCCTCTAATGACTTTTTTCTGTTCTGGAACTAGGGTTTCTCGTTTGGCTCTTGTCTGAGCTCCGATCCCCCAAACCAACCCCTATGCTACAATCGTTCTGAAAACTTTTACTGGTAAGCACCACCTCGTACCCTGCACCTGTTCCTTGTGTTTTTGGTTTGTTTGCTACGTTTTGTATGAGTAGATTAGAATATCACTGAGTTCCGTGAATTGTTTGAAACACATTATCTCACAGTTTAGATTCTTGTATTTTCTTTTAATTGTTTTATTTGATTAACCTCTGCTTTTTGCATTCTTCTTTCTTTCTTCATCAACCCGCTAAATTGGTGTAAGTGCTACTGTAATGCTAATGCAGATATCCTGATATTTCAATGCGATGTGCTAAATTTTAATTTTTACTGAAGTTTGCTTTGCTGAGGGCATCGTCTGGTGAAATTTGGATTTTTTTTTGCATTGCTTTATGCTCCGAGAACGTTTTTTGAGTCGTAGTTCTATCACTGAAAAAACTCAACCCACCAAAAATATATGTTCAGATTAGAGGTGTGAGCAAATAAGCATATTTGACAAACTTTTCAATATTATCTGATTAAGATTTTATTATGTTTGTTTAATTATATAATTGAAAAAGCTTAAGCTTGATTTATGAAGCTTGGAAAGTAAATGAACTATCTCGAGCATTGCTCCTGCATGTGTATTATAATTCCTGTTCAGTAAGTTGTTCAATGGGGGATTGTTTAAATGTCCATTTGATAATTCATTGGTGCTTCATTTATAGGCTTATTTCATGTTAATGAATCAACTTGTTTGAGCACTAAACATTTCAATTGGAGTATAATAATAGAGGTGTAATTATGATGAAAGTTTATGTAGAGAAATTCTTCTAGTATGGATTTGATTTTTCATAGTTTTTGTCTGAAGTTGTATTTTAAAAAGATTATAAAAGATGTTGAATAAATTCATGTCAATTTTTATGATCAGTTATAAAAAGACTTATGTTAGATAGCTGGAATGCATGTTTAGATTATTAGCATCACACATTTACATAACTAAGCTATATTAAAGCTTGGTTTGGAGTTGAACTACCTAAAAAGGATGTAAAAGAACTTGAAAAAATTTAAAAACTTGGGTCGTACGCAAGCTTGGCTCAATCTATATGAAAAAATAGTGAGCTTGAATTCAGTACTATGAGGTTTAGCTCATTTACTGCCCTATTCATAATGATTTACGAATGATGTTTACTTGATTTTTCTTTTTGTTGGTTATTATTTCTCGTTGTATGCTGCATATGCTTGATTTCTCATGCCTGTAACTTGAATTCACTTTTTGCCTAGATTTTGAAGACAATCTTGAGTTATTTTTATCAATCTTAAGAAGATGTTGTCTCAGTACCCTGTGCTTGATAATAAACCTATTGACCAATGGAGGGTTACTGAGCTTCGAGAAGAGCTTCGAAGAAGGAAATTGGCTACTAAAGGTTTAAAAGAGGAGTTGGTTAAGCGATTGGATGAAGCCATACAAAAAGAAAGGCAATCTGAAAATGCAGGAGAATTGGGTAATGGTGCTGACCCCAATTTAGATTTAGAAAATAATACTGATGAGGAAGATGTAGAGCTGGAAGGAGCAGATAATACACAACCCCTGTTGGCTGAGGATAATAATATTGATAAAGATGCATCCATGGTAAACATTAATCTTGGCATTCTTGACGGGAACCAAGGAAGTGAAGGTCAAAGTTGTGATGCAATTGAAGTTGCTTCCTTAGTTGGGGCAGATGAAGAGAATGCAGCTTCTACAGATGAATTGAAGGGTAGTGTAGTTGTCAACCAGAATGCAGCTCCTTCTCATTCTGGAATGAAGGGTATGGATGCCAAGCTTGGGAAGTTAGAGGAGTCAAAGCCTCCCATACGTGGGACATATGAAGAGAAGGAAGTTACTGCAGGTGATCTGGAGGGCATTTCACTGGCCAATCAGAGTAGTACTGCCCAATTTGGCACGCAAGACGAGGATGCTGAGCCTGAGGAGAAGTTTGAGGAGTTAAATCCTCCCTTAGTTGAGACAGATGAGGAAAAGGCAGCTACTAAATATGATTCGGAGGGCAGTGCACCAGACAACAAGAATATTACTGCCCAATCTGGCACACAAGTTGATGATGACGAGCTTGTGGAGAAATTTGATGACTCGATGCATCCCATAGCTGAGACAGATGAGGAGAAGGCAGCTACTGCAGATGATTTGGAGGGCGTTGCATCAGTAAACCAGAATATTACTTCCCAATCTAGCATGCAAGGTGAGGATGCTGAAGCAGAGGATGATTTTGAGCCTCTCATAGTGGATTCAACTGTCATCCAGTCGGAACAAAGCAATCAGGTATCTGAGATCAGCCAAGATTTAGGATTTCAAGTAAAATATGAATCAAATTCTATCGATTCTGTATCAATTAATGAAAAGAATAATATAAAGGATAACTTGTCTGCTGATCATTTCCCTTTAGAACTAGAAGTTGTTAAACAGGAAGTGGTGCAATCATCATCCAGCAGCTACCGCACTGGTACTAGAGATTTCTGCATGGCTGTTGATGAGCAAGAGGAAGCTAAGTACCATGACGTTGGTGAGCAAGTGGGTGTTAATATTGAAGTCTCTGATGGGCAAAAAATGGGTCAGAACCACTCATCAGATGAACATGAGGCAAATGACAGAAATGTAGCCAATGAACAATATCTTGTTCAGAGTTATGTTTCTTGTCAACAAGAAGTGAGTGAGAAGCATGTGTCTTTGAAAGATGCGGATATAGAAGATGCTTTAACCCTTGTCTTTCCCAAGAAGGAAGATTGTGTTGAAGCAGGTTCTCCTGAAAAATTGAATCTTGATAGGAGTTCTGGTGATGAGTCAATGGAGGAGGACATGTTGGAAAGTAAGCTTATGGAAGTTGATACCAAGTCTGAGGAACCAACTAGCAAAATTGAGGTAAAAGAGGTGGATGCTGAGTTAGAGGGAAGAGCTTCTGTTGATGCAGTGAGCAAATTTTCTCCTGAAATGAAAGCTACTGCTGTAGAAGATGTTAAGCCTGCAGCTCTTACTGAGAAGAGAAAGATGGAAGGTAAACATGATGTTCCCTGGATGGGCACAGTAACCTTTCGTCTTCCTTTTATTTATTTATTGTAGTTATCAATGAATTGATATGAAAACATTTATGCTCATGGTCAGCACTGCTAAATTTCTTGACCAATTTGTGAAATCTATTAAATCAAGTTTTTTTTTGGCATGAATAATGTAGTATTATTGTCTTCTACAACCCTGTTTATTCGCTGGTTAAATCATGAATCATAGGTTCAATTCGTATTGGAATCTCAATTAAATATTTTCATTTGAGAAAATGCTTGAATTCTTGTGTACCAACATGAGGCGCAACAAGTAGTGTGGCGAATATCATGGATATTTAGATAAATTTAACTATTGAATATAGGTTTATGCCTTGTAGAGTTTAACTGTGCACTTAACGAAATGATTTATAACATGAACTATGTAGTATGTATATGTTTTTCTCCTGGTTTTTGCGATGATTTTAGTATCCAAAGGAGTGCGTGCAATGTTACTCTGAGAAATCTTAGTTGATGGGTCTCAATGCAATAGATTTGTTGCCTCTATTGTTGTTGTGACCCAACGGACTATACCCACCATATCTATTTTAAACATATTGCTTTCCAGCCTAATTCTTAAATGTCTAGTCATATTTTTTTTTTGTTGCATTCATATTTTGAAGTAGATATGACTCATGCATTCTATTTATATATAATTCAACTATGAGGTGGATCCTCACGTAAGAGGTTTTGAATTTAACATAATAAAATTGACTTCTATTGTTTTGCCTTCATAAACTTGAGAATTTGTCATCATATTCATCTGAATCCTTAAATATTACTAGTATACGTTCCAAATATATTCACTCAGTCAGTGTTAACAAAAAAGGAATATTTTGTTGAAGTTATGCAGTCTTAAGTTCACCTTGATAATCAAAGCACCCACCCCACTGCATGCTCATATTGGTTTGGTGGTTCAACCTAAGCTTGTTAGACAAATTTTTTTTGCTCTTGCTTAGTTATTGACTAGATTGCGTCAATCATGTTGGTATGTCACAGGGCTCATTCTTTAGGGTTAGTTAACTCATCTAAGGTTGAAGTTAGATAATAAAAGCTGTATAGTGGGCAAGAATATATAGGATACTGTGCCCCTAATATTAAGATTAGGCTGATATTAGTAAATTCATATGTTAAGGTGTTGCACCAGCAAAAATCCCAAAATGGAAAAAGTATGAAAGCGAGTTTCCTTGTTTACCTTTGTTAATCCTATCAGTGCTATATATTAATTTAAGGTTCTGTCTTAAAACTTCCTAGTTTGTTCGTTGCTATGCATAACATTTCAATTTTTCTGAACACTGAACCTTGTAATGCAAGTAACGTCTTCTCCTAACACGCCAACATCCATAACTTCAATGCATTTGTTACTTCTGATTGCGTCAGACTTGTTGGACTAATTTATTACTTTTTACATCTAATAAAAATGGATTTTGATGGTGCTGCAATTTTATATGTTTTTAAAAGTTGCTTTCTGTGCTTTTTTAATAGATATTGCATATTTTAGTTTGAACCTTCATTTGGAGGAAGCGGTTGGTCAACCTTTTTTTTCCTCTCTATGGAAAGTGGAAACTAACACAATGGATTCATTTAAAGAAGGAAAACTTGAAAGTGGTTTGGTTTTGTTACTATTCTTATATTGATTGTAAAGTGGTACATCCTTGTTGCTAATCAAGTTAGAATGTTAAATTGAGCCAAGTCAGCTGAAATTTGCATCTGATATATATATATATATATATATAATTTTATTCATGTGTGTATTTTTTTTGTTCGGGCATTGCCACAGTTGTAACACTAGTTTCTGAAATATGATTTTGATGAGTTACAGATGAGCCTCATATATGGTATTCCTTTGATAAAAAGGCACATTTGAAAGTTTACTTAGCTTTAATTTATTTATTTTGTTATTTGGTCTATAGAGTTTCACATATTTTGATTTAATTAAGTTAGAAACTATTGGGTGCCCAAACAACGCTAAAGTTCAGCTGTTTAGTGAGTGATAAATGTCAAACAATGAGCATGCTTTAGAGCAGTAGCTGACAGTGAATGCAAAATGAAGGTTAGGCATCATGATACTTTAAATTATGCATGCTTTTGTGCCATAAAGAAGTCTTTTCAGCTTGATGGGTCCCATTTTTGACCACGACACTACCCGTAAAAGGTAGAATCACTTGAGATTGAACCCAGCTTGCTGGGTCTTTCCCGTAGTATTTGGCAAATCTCTTTTAGATTTAGTGAAACATAATTCATGAAGGTTTATTTTCTAGTCTATGCCAATTATTTTGTTGTGAACCTACGATTTTTTTTTAGAATTTACACTATGCCAAGCAAATGCTTAATTTATTTTCAAGAGAATGTTTTATTATAAAGGTTTGAAATAAGGATCTGCATTTTATTATTTTAACTGCGTTGATTGTCTAAATTATCAACTTTAGTTGATTCAAGCTGCTTACAATGGCTGTCATTTATTGTTTAGATTTTCAAGTAAAATGGCTTTGAAATTTGATTTGGTTAAAATTGTTACTTACACAAATAAATCAAAGTAGGCTGGATTTTGGCTACTAATGTGGTTATAGATGATCAAACATCTGCCATCCTTCGAAGGCTACTTCTGGCATTTTATAATCTTGTTGTCTCGTTGCACACCCATATTCTAAAATGAGATGAATATCTCTAATTTTGTTTTTTATTAGTAAATATTGTTTTTGTTATATGCTTTTGAAGGTTTAAAATTTTAGAAGATTTTTTTTTTATTTGATCGTGGTGCTTTTAAGCTTATGCTTTTAAGTAGATTTGCCTGTTTAGGCTGAAATGAGAGTACAGTTATATGTAGATCCAAATAAAAGATGAAGAGTTCATTTAGAGTGGATGGTAATCAGTTCTGCGTCAATGTTGTTTTTATGTCGTGGCATTTTCTTGTTATCAGAGTTGATGGACATACGAAAAAGGTGTACCAATCCCATTATTGCATTCTGCATTTCATTATGACCTTGGTCTACTTTCTTGATACTTTGTTGATGTGCTGGTCTTAAGTGGCATGCTTATTTTGGCTTTAATTTTTTATTCGTTGCATTAAGAAGTTCTACAGTGTCTTAGACTTTACTGTTTCTGTTTTCTAGAAACTGAAGTTGGGAACAATGGCGCTCCTAAGCGTCGTCGGTGGAACCCGGAAACCATTAAGGTTCCTGAACAGCAAATACCTCACCTCAACATAGCCATGACCCCAAAGAATAATGCACAACCAACACCTCGTCGCACATTCGGTAGGTCTAATTCGACGCTCAGTGCAGATTCCCCTAAGGAGCGCGTTGGTAAGGTTTTCAGAACCTTGTAGTTTATGATTACTTTCTCTTGCATAATTATTGACTGGGAAACATGGCTTCTTGTGCAGTCCCAACTCCGAAGAAACCTGCCACAACTTCCCTGAGAATAGACAACTTTCTTCGTCCTTTCACTCTGAAAGCCGTTCAGGAATTGCTTGCACAAACGGGAAATGTGTGTGATTTCTGGATGGATCATATCAAGACCCACTGCTATGTCACTGTATGCCTTTTCAACCACCTCCGCTTCTTTTAGCTTTTCAATCCACGACCCATTTGTGCTATTTGGGCCATAGCACTAAGGCTTCGTTTGGGACGTCTTTCTTACTGCTTCTTAAAGCAGCTTTACAGTACAAATTTTTTTAATTTTTTATTAAAAAGCTACTTTTATAAGCAATAAGAAAGTTGTCTCAAATGAAGCCTAAATTTCTTGAAGCTTTTCACTGACATTTGGTCTGATACTATAGATCAATGTGCACCAATCACTTCTGTTGGCAATATTTTGTTTTTTTTGGGACTAATTATCAAGGCCAAGTATCAACATCTCACTGGATCGGACAAAATTCTTTTATTGAGTTGTGTTTTTTTTTAGAGTAAATGAAATTTGGATCTGCTTGGCTTATTCTTGTTTGATATTGACTTTGTAGAGTCGCCTGTTTCTGAATCACTCAAGCATTTCATTACATATTTCAACGTTCACTATCTATCATATTTACTTTCGACTCTTTTTATTGCTTGTTCTGCAGTATTCCTCGGTGGAAGAGGCTGCAGAAACCAGAAAGGCTGTTTACAACATCCAGTGGCCCCCAAATGGTGGACGTCTCCTTGCAGCAGAGTTTGTTGATCCTCAAGAGGTGAAGTCACGATTGGAGGTTCCTCCACCATCTCCAGCACAAATCAGCCCCACTCCAGCAACTCCTAAGGTCCTTCCTCCCCATCAAAAAACCCAAGCCCCTCAACCAACTCATCAGCAAAACCTCAGGCAGCAGCCACTCCCTCCTCCACCTCCACTAACTCACCCACCGCCGCCGCCACCACCGCTGCTTTCTAACCCTCCACCTATTGCAAGAGAGCAGCGACTCCCTCCCCCTCCTCCAAAGAAGCCTGAGCCACCTGTGGTGACTCTAGATGATCTTTTCAAGAAGACCAAAGCAACTCCCAGGATCTATTACCTACCATTGACAGAAGAGCAGGTGAGCGCGAAGTTAGCAGCCCATGGCAAGAGCAAACAGGTTTAGTGCTTCGTCTTTTGTAGCTTGTTTGCTATGTCAATGTTGGTTTGTTCTTTCGTTAGTTGGTTGGTAGACACTGCATATGGTAGAGACATTAGCCAAAGTCTATATGATTGTGCTTAATTTACTTATCATTTTCTAGGCATGGATAGCCAGTCTTTGTCCTTAAAAGGAAACATGAAGTCTATGTTCTGCATTTCATTTCTAACTATGAACGAACATGTTTTTTTTTCCATTCTTTTTTACCTGTGAGAGAACCAAAAGTTGTTTGGTGGGAATGAAAAGGTGAACTGAACTTTGGGTGTTTTGATGAAGATGGAGTGGCACTCTTCTATCTAAGGCGAAGTTTTGAATTTTATAGAGCTTTATGCCAAAATCTTTTTATAATATATTTTATTAGTTTGATGGAGTAAAAATTAGGCTTGATGATAACCCCCTTTTGTAGCTTCTGCTACTTAACGTGCTCTTCGAATTATACATGCGTTTCATTCTTCTTTTTCTCTCAACCCGTTTCTTTCCAAAATGTCTTAAGATGATGTATCAAGTGATGCATTTAGTTGAGCTGGCTGAAAAGCTTTGTAGTTTTGATTGTCGTTAACAGTGCTTGACATTGATTATTGTCGATAACCCATCTTATTTGGCTTCGTTTGTGATCGATAACTCACCTTTTTCAGTCAGTTATTTTCACGAATTCCAGGTTCTGATACTAACTAATGTGGTGGATCGGTGGAAGAAATGGATCTATTAGAGTGAACTCTCAATTTAAGGAAGCAAATACAAGTTCTAAGGCTTCAAATCATATAGTATTCTCTATATCCTCTTTTCTCTCTTACAATGATTATATGTAATCTTGTAATAAAAAATTTTAGAAACTAAAATAAAACAAGTAATAAAAATATATGTTAGTCCTTAAGCTAATTATAAGTATGACTTTTCTGCCTAAAAAAGAGTTAGTGATAGCAATTAGCAATTTAGGTCTTCTTGGATGTCAGATACTAATCACCAACTCGAGAACAAATTCAGATGGCCCATTCTGAAAGCACGGATTGGCGGCCCCATATGAATAATCAATCTAATTAAAAAAAAAAATAGGGTCAATACGTTATTGTAAATATGTGGTACGAAGTGAGTTCTATAAGACGTGTAGGGAGGTATGATCATGTTGTCAATGTGCCACATAGTGAGTTTCATGACTTTCTGTAAGAGGTCCACAGAGAGGCCGAGGCAAAATTTTTGGAGCTCACAAATATATTTACATTCTAATGTTTGTTGAAACTTTATCATTTCATATGCTTAGACTAGTTCAACTAAATCAAGATTAAACCTGTGGACAAAGCTTAGCCCCTCATTTTTCTAGTTGTATTTGAAAATAAAGTTGATATTATTCTCGAGTGAACTTCGCTAAGTCGCATTTGCAATATCATAAAAGCTTGAATAGAAATATTTGATCATATAGTTTTCATTTTTCACTACACCTAATAGTATGTTGAATCCGACTTTGTCAGGGGAAAATACTTAACCTTACTAGCAGGTCTAACTAGAGAGCAAAGGAAAGAAAAATCCCTAATGATCTAAGAGACCTTTTAGATGATATTTTGTGTGTATTGAACAATACCAATTACCCCTTATTTATAGGATTTATGGGGCTACATAAATATATATATATATATATATATATATATAGTAATGTTGAGTGGCATAGAGAGTGAGTTCTAGTATATTGTGGGTTGGCATCGAGTTGGATGAAGTCTATAGTGGTGAACCAATTGGGCATTATTGTCTTGCTTTAAATAAAGGATTCTTGTAGGGGGGTGAATAGGCGTGTGTTTAGGCAACTGGGGTTAAATGCGATGATGAGCATAGGTGGTACGAGTGATACCCCCGGGATGAGATCCTTTCTCCAGCTGAGCTCTGGTGAGGGATGATGGTCTTGTATTGAGATTAGATGATTGGAGTAGCGGCTAGTGATCGGTGGTCTGCTTGATACGCTATCCATGACTCCCCCAATTCAGAAGGATAGTCTGGTTTCTTCAGACAAGTGTCCAAGAGTTCTTCTGTGGGTTATAGGAATTTTGAGATGGGACGAGTTTGAGGGAGCTTGATTGAGAAGGATGAATCTAGTCGCAATAGGCCATTCTTGCAAAATGACTTGGCTAGGAGAGTAGATGTATTATAATTGACTTATATTAAGAAATATAGAAGTAGACATAAAAAAGCTTGATTAAAAAGTATTATAAATGACCTATTTTTATTATATTTAAATAAAAAAATTAGTCTCTTAATAGAACACAATGGAGAAAAATGATTCATATAGCCGACCTAATATAGTGAGATAAATACCTGATATTGTTATCATATAATATTCTAAAATAAATTAATAAATTGGTTGCATCCTGGAGTATTTAAGGCAGTAGAGAAATATGTAGTTTAAGGTCTTAGCATCATACGAAGATCCAGGATACAAGCAGATAAGAGAGAGGGTGTAACATTCATAAGAGACACCAGAGTTTTAACGTGAAAAACCCCTGAAAAGGAGGAAAAACCACGGGGTCTGGCCCAGTTTGAATGCATCCACTAGTATTTGCAGTCGATTACAAATGAGGCCCTTCTTAGGGAGAAGGCCTTGGCTTGATGGTACAAATATACATCATATATAGCGCATTACATGGTGGGAGTTACAATATAGACATATTTGTTTGGTCGGCACGACCATAGTCGGTAGGATGGAGACCAGAAAGATCGTTGTCTGGTGATAGAGGTCGGAAGGACCGTAGTCGGCAGGAGACAAGGTCAAAAATATCGTTGTTTAGGGATGGAGGTCGGATGGACCAGTAGATGACGGAGGTCAGAAGGATCGTAGTCGGCAGGAGACCTTGGTTAGAAAGACCGTTGTCTAGTGATGGAGGTCAGATGGACCATAGTAGGTGACGGGGGTCAGAAGGATCGTAGTCGGCAATAGACCAAGGTCAGAAAGACCGTTGTTTGGTGATGGAGGTCGGCAGTATTCTGGGAGAACTCTGGGTATCAGGTGGTGGCTCGGTGGAGCTCAAGACCTCAAGTAATGGTCCAACGGAAGTCCGGATCTCAAGTGATGTTATGGTGGAGCACAGGGCCTCAAGTGGTAGTCCGGCAGAAGTGCGGGCCTCAGGTGGTGGTCCGGTAGAAGTCTGGGCCTCGGGTGGTGTCCTGGTGGAGCACAAGGCCTCAAGTGACGGTTTGGCGGAAGTTCGAGCCTTAGGTGGTGGCCTGGTGAAGCAAAAGGCCTCTTGCGATGGTCCGGTGGAAGTCCGGGCCTCAGGTGGTGATCCGGTGGAAGTCCGGGCCTCAGGTGGTGATCAAGTGGAGCACAAAGGCCTTAAGTGGTGGTCCGGAAGAAGTTCGGGCCTCAGGTGGTGGTCAGGCAGAGCAATGGCGTTAGGCGGTGGTCCGGAGGAGGTGATGGCCTCAAGTGGTGGTCGGGCAGAGCAACAACGTCAGGCGGTGGCCCGGCGGAGGTGAGGGCCTCAAGTAGTGGTCCGCCGGAAGTCCGACGGTGGTCGAGGAGGAGCTTCTTCCTTCCCACCTTCAAGAGAAATGAGGGGTTTATTTATAAATTTTTTGGAGTGGCATGACCCGTAAATAGGTGAGAGATCAAGGGTAAATGGGGAGTGGTTGGATGGACGGTCGATATTGAATCCCTTGAGCAAGGACCGTTTGATGGACATTTGAACATCTTAATGATTTCGGAATTTGGTGATCTTGGGTTCGTTGTGTTCGTCTCGTCGAGCCGCTCGATTCGATTATAAGCTCGTCATGTTTGGAAACCGTTTGGTAACCCAAATTGTGGTTTGAACCTTTCAACAGCGCTTCGGGTCCTTGATTTGGACCCATTTGGGCTCGGATTGAGTCGAATTTAGTGTCGTTGGGTTCGTATTTCCAAGATGTTCAGTTCAACTGTAAGTTTGCTCAAATCGGAGTTTGGATGGTCCCAATTTTAATTTCGGAAGTTCCCAACTTGATTTTGTCATGAGATTCATGACCGATTAAAATAATTTTTTGATGCGGTATCAAAATTATATCAAGATTGATTAGAATACCATCATATTTATTTTGAAATTAATGCTCCATATTAATAATTCATATTATACTAATTTTAAAATAAAGTAGATCATTTCACCTAACAATTAACATTACAACATATAAAGCGAAGCAACAGTCCCTTTAAATTCATCCAAAGTAGACAAAGCAACACAGAAGAAATTAAGATCCTCAACTAATTAACAATTTAAGCAAAACTATCTCACAGGAGAAATTACAACTTACATAATCTCCTAAGGAGAAATTACAACTTACATAATCTCCTAAGGAGAAATTGCTGACACAAAAAAGACCTGAGCAGGAGAAAAAAAAAAAAACAGGAAAGACAAACATCCATCAAGCAGAGAAGAAACCATTAAAGGCAGCAAGAGAAAAAGAACTTGTGGGGTTCCTAGCTCTCTTTTCAATATCATCCCTTACAAAGATCAGCTCCTCTGTGACCTTTTCCTTAATGGTTAAGAAAGCAGAGGAGGCCATAGCTATGGTGGAGCTGAACTCAAACCCTTTATATTGTTCTCCCTTCTCCAACTTCTTCGTCCTCCTCTCAAAGTCATCTGCGACGAAGGAAGCTATATCCGCCATTATTTGTGCTTGTAACAGCTAGATAACACAGAAGCTCAAAGCTCACGATGCTCTTTAGAGGATATATTTATATAAATATTTTTATAGCAATTTATATTATGCGTTTATTTCTCGGGAAAAAAGTCTTATTGGTAGGTCGGAAAGGGTTTTGGATAAGAACGACGGCATTTTGGCCTGCTTCTGTGATTAGTAATGCACTTATTTATTTATTTATAATTATATATATATATATATATATATATATATATTGGGAAATTTGTGGGCTTAGCCCATTTCTATTAAAAGAAAAAGTTACAAGTAAGAATAAAAACCAGGCAATCAAAAACCTACCAAAAAGAAGCCAAAGGGGCTATGTGTAAACAGCAACACATACAAAAGCTAACTAACAAAATTGAAACCAAAACAATTTTATCCGAGTAGCTGGGGGCTCAGTAAAGAGGAATTGCTGCAAGTAGATCGGTCCTCTGGTTGCAAAGTAGAGAACTGCTGCATGATGGAAGGACAAACTCTGCCGTCCAAGGGGAGGCAATCCGCACATCATAGCCCACCAATACCAAAACTGAAGCCAGAGGAATAAGAGCAAGGCAATATCTGTTCTTGCAAAAACGCCTAGAGCAGAATCTCGGGCCAGAAAAAATAAGTTGCACCACCCAAA